GGCACGCTCCAAAACTCTGATAATATTTTGTACCGTGCCTTATGCTCCCTGTTATGAGGAAATGGGTGACAAATGCATCCGCAAACCATATATCTTCTCAAATAAATTAAGGACAGCTGCTTCGTTTAGAGCAAAATGCCGACCAAGGAACAATGGACACTGGACAGTGTCCTACAACAGTCGGGTGACACGAATATAATCATTGACTATTAAATTATCACCATATCCGAGTCCTATCCGAGTCCTCTGTGATAAGTCAAGTATTTGATCGTGTTTGTATTCGTACTTGACACAAGGAGCACACAGAAATGGATGGTTATATGCTGATGGAATTGCGGCTCCTATTCAGCACATGTGTATAAATGTCCCCCCACCCATAACCCCGGTTTCCCACATTTTCCCCAAGTGTGAGAGGAAGGAAGAGGATGGAAAATTGTATGGTTTTCGTCTTACATTATAAGTTCTTTGTTTTTTTTTTCATTTACTAACAATGTTATTCTTCCTTTTGTACCGATCCGCTGCACCTGCACAACTATTTTTCAAAGATAGTAAGACTTTATTGACGTATCGGCGGGAAAAATCATTTAAATATCTTTTATGCGACCTTTCCTCGTTGAAATGTATGTTATGTCACGCTCGACTTGTTTAAGCACTCGTTTATAAATGAACTCGTTTCACTCGTTCATTTATAAACTCGTGCTTAAACAAGTCGAGCGAGACATAAAATACATTTAAACGAGGTGAAGGTCGCATAAAGTACTAATATTGTGGACGTTAAAACACTGTATTTTTTTAAGAGGCCCTCCCTTCGAGGATGATAAAACGCCCCCCGATAAAAAAACGCCCCCGATGCTAAAACGCCTGCACCTGCGGCAGGCGTGGCATTCTTTTTTCAAGGAGTCTGTTTTTGTTTCTTTTTTCTGTTTCTTTTCTTAGAGGTTATAGGTACAATTTTCGTTGGTCATCAGCGTTTGGTTGTGCTAGTTTTCGCATTGTTCGAGCGCTTTGGAAGTGTTATTGGTTTCGATAACACCGTATTTGCTTAGCTTTTCGAAATAAAAGGCCTTGCAGCTGTGTTCGCAAAGCGTCTTTTACAAGTCGACTTGACTTTTAAAACGCCCGAGGGGGGGGGGGCGTCTTACCATACCCATAGTGTAAGAGGCCCTTTTGCAACTTTTTCCAAAATGTTAAAGTTTACGGTTTGTGTACCCCCTAGATTCATTTTGAATGCAAATATGTATGGGAAAATGATGCATGCTCACAGCGCATGCACGCGTTAGCGCTTAAATATTATCAGTTGTCTAAAAATAGTAACTGAGCTTAAGGGGGGGCCTCCTGCACCACTCTCCCCTATAACTTCATAAATGACGTCGCGCAAGGTCAACATTGCAAAAGTGACGCATCGAACCTTGCAAGGAGTGCATGAAATCACGATTCGGTGTGCTTGAGATAGTTGGAGATCGATCATTCCCGGCGCCAGAAAAAGTTTTCAGTTTATCCCCATTGACCTCACCTAATGGTGAGGTCACGAAAATGACCTGACCTCATATGAACTTAAGGAAAAATCCGAGATATACATTATACAAGTTGAAAGACTCCTATTGGATACTAGGTCCTCCAAGGTTCATTTCCCTGTGAAATCTCCTCTGGCAGTGAGGGCGTTGCGAAGTTGCGACATCTGAAGACCGTGCAGAGGTTCACTTATGACCACATGGGTCAGTGACCTGATCTGACCCGAAAATGCGGTTGGTGTCAAAAGATCCCGTTTGATTCAAAGGTCAGGTATGCCAAGCTTCAGCTCTCTATCGCCGGCGTGTTCGGAGCTATCGCGAAAAAAAACTATGGAGGGGCGGCACCCCCCCCCCCCCCCCGGCTGGCGAGGGTTAAGGCCCTCAGAGACCAGTACAGGGCCTGCAAAGGGCAGGATGAGACCTTAAGATGCCGACTTGGGCCATCAGAGGCTAATGTGGGTCCTTACAGGCCAGTATGGGCCCTCAGAGGTCAGTGTGGGACCCTAAAATGCCGGCATGGGCCGGTGTTGGACCCCAGAGGCCAGCAGAAGACCCTCAAAAACCAAGATGGGCCTCAGAGGCCAGCATCGGGTCTTCAGAATCCAGTGCAAGGCCCTCAGAGACTAATGCGTGTCCTTACAGGGCAGCATGGGCCCTTAGAGGTCAGTGTGGGGCCGTAACAGACCGGCATGGGAGGGACTTGGAACCTAGAGACCAGCGGAGGGCCCTCATAGGCCAAGGTGGGCCCTCAGAGGCCGATGCGGACCGTTGGAGACCGGCATCGGATCTCCGGAATCCAGTGCGGGGCCCTTAGAGGTCAATGTGGAACCCTAAAATACCGGCATGGGCCGGTGTTGGAACCCAGAGACCAGCAGAAGGCCCTCAAAAACCAAGATGGGCCTCAGAGGCCGGCATCAGGTCTTCAGAATCCCGTGCAAGGCCTCATAGGCTAATGTGGGTCCTTACAGGTCAGCATGGGCCCTTAGAGGTCAGTGTGGGGCCCTAAAAGACCGGCATGGGCCGGCGTTGGACCCCTCAGGCCAAGGTGGACCCTCAGAGGCCGATGCGGACCCTTAGAGGCCGGCATCGGGTCTTCAGAATTACCCCAGAGACAGAAATGAGGCCACCAGAGGCCGGTGTGAGGCCCTCAGACGCCGGCTGGGCCCTTGAGGCCGGTTTAGGGGCCCTCAAATGAGGTCAATGTGGGTTCTCAGCGGTCAATGTGGGCGCTTGACCGCCACTGAAGGGCCCTCCGAGATCAGTGTAGGACCCTCAAAGACTGGTTTGGGAGCTGTTAATAGCTAGCGTGGGATTCTTGAGTCTCGTGACAATCGAATAAGGGCCAGAGCCCCATACGCCCATGGGGGCCCATTGGTTGTTTGGGGGGGGCCAAATGATATGATGGCCCCCTGATTAGCCTTTGGAGGGGGGAAGGGCATGGCCCTGATCCCCCTCTGCGACCGTCACTGCACTGAAAGTGGAAGGGGGAGGGGCAGAAACAGACATTGCTGGCCCCCAGCCTGTTTGAAACGAGGCTGAGGCACGGTCACCCTGGCCCCCAGCTAGTACGTCTTTGACGAACTATGCCGACCCCAAGCAGATAAGGTCAAGCGTTGGTCGTTTGTATACGCATTCTCCTGCACCGTGCTAGTATTGTCTTAGTATTGCCTATACCTTTTTAGTGCTCGCTGTCCCGCGCCTCGTATTCAACAAAATGCTGTCACCAGGACTCACAGTCTTGTCTCTGATATGGTTTCCTTCATTGAGTGAAGGAAATTGCGGTCAATAACGCTGTAGAAACAAAAAGGAATCCTCATTAAAGGGCAAGCTGAATAGTTGTCAAGTTACCGGGTGGTAGGTTAGGTACAGACAGACACTTAAGTCAGCAAAAAGTGGGGGGGCCAGTTAACATTGCTGGCCCCCCCACCTCCGAAAGTGGGGGGGCCATGGCCCCCCCGGCCCCCCCTGTTCCTACGCCTATGCATTTGTCACCCCCAAAAGGCGTCTTATGGAAAGCCCATGAAAATGTTTTTGAGTTATAGAACACTTCAACGGTCAATGTCACTTCTGGTTGAAAGCATAAAGCTTTCACCGAATTCTCCTAAAAATGTTTCATCTTTAAATCCATGTCTAGGCATATCATTGTGCTGGTTTTTAGTTTTTGCCAGTTTTTGCCACTTTTTGCCGGTTAAAACCGGTTTAAACCGCCCAATGGCATAAACTAGTTTTTGCCGGCAAAAATGCCAACCCTGCAAGAGGCTAAGTGATGTGTTGTTTGATTCTACTGCTACACCGCGATGTCGGGGTCCCCCACCTAGATGTTTAGTTTTTCTGGACGGGGGGGGGGTATCAATTTGGGGGGTGACACGCCGTGCCGCAGCGCTGCATAGCCCGGCTAGCTCAGTCGGTAGAGCATGGGACTCTTAATCCCAGGGTCGTGGGTTCGAGCCCCACGTTGGGCGTCTCTCTTTGGTGCCCGAGATGGGTAAATTGCTGTGGTGTTACTGATGTCTGATAGTGTTGCCGATGTTACCGGTACCCCTCTGAACGACGGGGATTCTACCCCTTCCCTCCCTCCCATTGAGTGCGCTCGTTACATAACGAAACATGTGCCGGGCGAATTTTCTGATCTATCACGGTGGCTGGAGAATATGATCCCAATTAAACATAAAGCCACCAAACGTAACATCGAGATGCAATATTCCTCCAGTGTCCAATTCGTGGTGAAATGTTATTGAATAGCATCTTGGATTTTCCTAAATTTCGAGTCTAAAGAAGTGCGTCTGAAAATATGAGCCTTTGAGCGTGTATCTCTCTTCGGCTGCCGGGGCTCCGCGTTTGACTCTGGAAGACCCTAAATGCGGTCACCAATGCCACAACCAACTTCGCTCATCGCTGACTTACATCTGACTTCTTAGTTGTTGGGATGCTGGCCAATCTAGCTGCAAAATGCTTTTCGCCATTTCCGCTGCTAGGAGACAGACGTCAGACATTCAACAGCCCCAAATAACATTACTCTTTTGGCAACGGATTCGCTGAGGCTGTCTACCTGGTGGTAGATTTGAACCCATTCACTACAATGATGCAAAACGATTCAATTTTCGTATGAATTGGCGCTACTGCCAATGTCGATCTTACGCCATTCATAAAAAGTCGGGGAGATGGGGGAAACAATTTCAATTAGTTCACGAATGCAAATATTTACGCCATCATCTGTTGGCATGTAGGTAGGCCATCATCTGCATCCATGTCGGACGCCCTTATATCCCATAGCGGAAGCCGACCTGCCAGTAAAAACTCTGTGCTACGGTCTGCGCGTGACGCCGTGACATGGAAGGGTCAGTGGGGACCGGGTCATCGACCTCCTCACCGAGACAAGGCACGCACCGGCTGGTCCTTATAGTGCAGCGCCCCGGCCGGTGGGTGTTCTTATAGCTCAGCACCCCAGCCGGTGCCGTCCCTGTCTCGTCTGCCATGCCGGCCGCCCGGCGCTCTCGGTGGCGGCCGCTGCTGGCTATGCTTCTAGCGGCGGTCGGCGGCGCGGCACACGAACACTGCGCCCCGCCGGTGATCGAGGGCCACCCGTGTTCGGATGTGAGCGGCCTGCGCCAGTCCCCGGTGGCTATTGACTCGTGCCGCGCCACTGCCGACGTCCACCGGCCGCTGCGGATTTCTAACCTGGACGCCATCCCGCGCCGGATGACGGTGGATAACACGGGAGACCGGGTGGCGGGGGATGTGTTCTGGGCGCCCGGTGAGACGCCCACCATCACCGGCGGCCGGCTGCGCGGCCAGTTCATCTACGAGCTGTACAACCTGCACTGGGGCGCCAACAGCTCCTCCGGCTCTGAACACCTGGTGAACGGGCGCAGCTACGCCGGCGAGCTCCACCTCGGCTTCAAGAACGTCAAGTACGCCACTGTGGAGGAGGCTCTCCTGCACGCGGACGGCGTGGTCGCTCTGGCGGTGCTGCTGGACGTCCAGGCGCGCAGTCCGGGCCGCGGGCTGACGGCGCTGGCACCGGCGCTGTTCCAGATCCGCGAGGCGGCGAGCTCGGCAGAGCTGGTCTCGCCGCCGACTCTCCGGGAGCTGCTGCCGCGCCAGCTGCAGCGCTACGTCCAGTACGAGGGCTCCTTCACCTCGGTGCCGCCGTGCCGTGAGGCCGCCACATGGATCGTGCTGCTGGAGCCGCTGCGGGTGCTGGAGCTGGAGCTGGAGCTGCTCCGGCAGCTGCGCGACCCCAGCGGACAGAATATCTGCACCAGCCTGAACCGGCAGCTGCAGCCGCTGGCCAGCCGACCGCTGCACACTAAACACGCGCACCGGGGCTGCTGACGCGCGCGCGTGCTGCGCACCGGCTACCGACTCCTTAGGTACTTGATGTTTGTTGGATTAGTTGTTATCTGAAATAGCAAAATGGCTAGTGTTGTTTTGTAATAAATGTCAGAGTTGTGTAATAAAGTGTATGAACTTGGCATGAAACAGCTTTATACCGACCAGAACGACCCGTCTTTGTAGATTGTCGTAACACCGACTAGTTGCACAGGCGTGGATCGACCTGACACACTAGAGAGTAGAGACACCAGAATATGGTGGCATACGTAAAACCTGCCACAGCTGACATTCGTGTCTAATCATGCCGATCAGACTGGCGAACGACAGGTTAACTGGAGGTCAGGTGGACAGTGGACACGTATGTTAGGTAGCCTGGGTGGACAGGCGTGAAATTGGACGACTGTCCTCGAAATGGCTAACGATTGGCTTCACACAGCCTTTTAAATGCAGCATCACAGTTACATATTATACTGGAAACGTAAACATTGTTTTTTTTTCTAACGGAGTTTACCATTAGTGCACGATACAGTTAACAGTAGGTTGTTTCTGTCTCTCTCAGCTAACCCACTGTCTCACACAGATAAGGTCTCATGCAACTATCTATCTCACGCACATCTGTGTCTCCTGTTCCATGTCTCAGGAGGCGGCCACGGCGGCTCTGCGGGCGCTTACCGCCGACCGACGACTGACCCTGTCCCGCCTGTCGGAGGCCGAGGCCGAACGGTCCCGCCTTCTCGCCGGGTTCGAGCAGGCCAAACGAGCCTGGCAGATAGAGCTGCAGCGTGTCGACAGGTGAGCGGACTGACGGTGATGAGCGGTTGTAGCTTGGGTATCAGTGGTATCAAACGAATTCTAACTACATCCCATCCAACAATTTTTGATGAAATGGTGACCGGTGTGCTAAATTTGCTTGCCTTTGGAGGTGCGCCTGCTAGAGGTGCACATGCGTGGATTTGTTTTGAAATTAAATTCAGAATCTCAAATTTGCCATAGGGGGAAAACATGCGTGAAATGGGAATTTGGTGGGGCGCCTGAATTAATTTGGGATTTAATTTGGAAAAACGGGATGTTGGTATTTTTACGAGGATAATAGCAAAATTGACACGCTTCACTCATATCGACAATCTGAATTAAGCTTTAATTCATGTTTGTAAATTAGATAAATTGGCGCTTGACCGATACAAGAAGCAAAACGAACGACCTACGACCAAAGTCATCTAAATTACCGACGGTGTTGTCCGGGTATGGAAGTGTTGGCGCACAATCTGTTTTGGTGGAGTTATGCTAAAGCACTGATAACGTCTCTGTTTCACTGTGCAATCTCAATCTGTGCGGGAATTTCTTCAAAGATATCGAGGTAAGCAAAATAGCACACATTTCTACTCTGCCTTTATAGCCATTTATAGCCACATCCCCTTTTTATTTATGTGTTGTTCTATGATCTAAAACAGTTTTCTTGCATTGTTTCTATATATTTTCTTCAATAGCTGTTAATACCATTGGCATTTAGGTACTATTGGTCTCAAGAGAAGGGCTCAGGTGACTTGTAGTTCAGATGCGGTGAACACCCTCACCCTCGCCACAACTCGAGTGGGGGTGGCGCTGGGTGGGAGGAGGGGTGCACTCGGCCCGAGCTGTGGCGAGGGTAAGGGCAATCACTGCATCAAAACTACAGGTCGCCTGGGCCCTTATCTTGAGACCAATAGTACTTGCTCGATGGCTGATCATTAGATCTGGGAGTGTTATGACAAATAAGTGACATCTGTGTCACCTTATGCTCTTTGCCGGGTGACCGGACTTCAGGCGGTGACCCGAAATGACTGGACTTCTGTAGGTGACCTGGAGTGACCCGACCTCTATCGTTGACCCGGATTGACTCGCCGCAGGACCGAGCTCGTCGATGACCTGCGGGGTCGACTGGAGGGCTCTGAGCGGCGGCTGACCGAAATGGACGCCGAACACCGCGACACTAGCGCCGCGCTGCGGGAGGAGCTGGCACTGCGCACCTCACAGATCGCCGACCTGACGGCCCAGCTGCAACAGGCCAAGCGCACCATCGTCGAACAGGAGGTGAACAGTTGGCGCGGGAGGGCTTACAGCCGGTGTAGACGCCGCGTGTCTGGATCCAGCTCAGCCCATCCCTAGGCAGTTGACATAAATGGCTTAGATCTTGATTAGTGAGAGTACGGGACTGAATGCAGGGTTCGAGGATGCTGCTAGAAATGCATAGTTGATGTTTTGCAATCAAAGCTTTTGATGGCCGCCTTTGTTTGATTTCAGTCCAAGCGGCTCTAAGGCTAGAAGACCTCGTAAATATGTTCGTCGATTTTATAATGACCTGTCTCGGGCTCGTCTACTCCGTATATCGGTATGCGTAACAGTCCGAACAATCCGACGGTTTGATGTCGGCATCTCGCCAATCAGTGATGACCGTCCTTCCGGCTACCTCATCGGAGTAGTTTCTGCATCGATAGGTGCTCCCCACCTCACCTCTCTCCCCTCCCCACCTCGCCTCTGACCTCTGACCCATTATATCGTGTTTCACTGACCTCTGACCTGCCCTCTGGCCTCACCCCGGACAGGTGCAGAACGATTACCTCCAGCAGCGACTGGAGGACCGTGGCGACTCGCCGCCCCCCTCGGACCTCTCCCAGGCGCCCACGGCACGGCTCTCCACCGGCTCTGTCAGCGACTCACGGCTCGCCAGGACGGCCGCCACGGCGCCCCGCGGTCAGAACAGTGGTGAGAGCGCGCTCATGGCGACGGTAGGGGCCATAGAGTAGGTACTGATAGGAGGTTAGGAGTCAGGAGAGTTCTGAAATGGATAGGGCCTGAATGAGCGCTCAGACAGGGTCGGCGGGTCAGGCTAGGGCTATCACGGATTCCGGGGAGGGGGTTGGGTTGGCAGACGAGGACTCTATGTGCTGAGACGGTACCGGTTGGGCAGAGCGGGGCAGGTGACATATGGCAGTGGTCGGCAGGTCCTCCGGGGTCGTGCCCCCTTTTTTGGCGGCAGGCAGCGCCATTACCCCCGCCTACCAGACTCCATTGGTGATACAACCAAGGTTACTGAAATTCCATACTTTTCCGTGACTCTTTGGGTACCATATCTGCGAGAAACCACAGGGGGCCCCGCCCCTCTCCCCTGCGGTTTCTCAAATACCTATCTCAAAAACGTTGGCACGGAGCGCCACCATTTTGGCACATTTTATCATAGTTACATCTTTTCTGCACATGTTGTGAAAATTTCAGACCAAAGTCACTGAAGGTCAGGTCACCAGACCACGTCAAGTGACCTCATCTTGGTAAAGACTGTAACGCCTGCCGTAGCTACACAGAGCGACAGATCTCTTTTAAACTTTCAGGAATTGATAAAGGCAACAACATGTACAAAATTTGTATCTCGGAAATTTGATGTCGGTGACCAAAGGTCAGGTCAATTTCACACCCTCTCCAGTCTCCGGTTATCAATGGGGGAGGGCGCAAAGTCAATGGTACAAAATTGAAAGGCGCCTCTTTTGGACGAGTGTCATTCCTAATACTGGGAAACACTGAATTGCAAGTAAACATGACCACTGAACCGAAAAATTGCACCCGTAGCCCCGTTGTATGTCCCTGAGGTCATTTCAGGTCATAGTGTATAACAGTTTTCGCTAAAAAAAAACTTTTGATAAAGGCATGCCAGAGCGATGAAAATGCCTTAGATGTGTTCAGCTCGACGATACGGATCGAATGATTTGCAACAAAACCTTCGATGCTTCTCGACGGGAGGATCACGATGCTGATAAAAGTGAGCTCTTGCAAGTTTTGAGTGAAAAGCTACTGAAGAAAAACTGTCGGCAAACAACGTATATTTTGGCAGTTTTTGTTTCCTGCAGGCTAAACCGTTAATCTTAGGTTGAATCTGAGGGCAGGCATAAGAAAAAACGTTAAGAGAGCTATGGAATGCGTTTTTCCGCAGTGCTGTAGCTCTATCCTTTCCTAAGCTATAGAACAGTTTGTTGAAAATTGTCAAAGGTTGACCTGGAAATTGGCGATACTTAACGTTCGATGACCTCTGGTTAGCTGACCTTTGACTTGACCAAAAAAGTAATCATAGTTTTTTTCATCATTTCTTACGGTCTTTCGAACGCCGACTACGGCGTTTCGCTAGTGACCCAGGAGCAAAGTTAGTAGGGGGTGTTCAACCTCCACCTCCAGCAGGGCGTGGAAGTCCAGGAGCCTCAGCGGGGCGAGGATTAACCCCCCTACGTATAGGGGTAGCGGATATTTTTCGGGAATAGATCACGTTGAAAAGGTCGGATCACGAAAAAACTGTACCCACGAGCCGATCATTTTTATCTGTCCTGAAAATGGCATGACCTTAACCCGAATAACCTTTGATTTGTGAGATATATCTTGAGATCATAGCAGGCCACAAAATCTCACTTCAAGAAGTTACAGCGATACCCGATTTACTCGGCATCTGTCATTGGCCTCTGGAAGGTCACCCAATGACCAAGGACCTTTAAATTGGGTAGCAGCGACTGCCTATCTTCACGGGCAACACGCTCATTTTTTTCTGCAAAGCTCCAGCTCAGAGGCCGAGATGCTCGGGTCAGGGTGCAATGGACGACTCCTCTCCCTTGCGTTAGTGACTGTGAAAACACCAATAGACGAGCGCCGGTTAATACATCACAGTTACTTTTGCACGACTGTACGGAATGGTGAGCAGCTACATGAAAATTGGCATGCGTCAGCTAATCAGTTCATGCTTTGTGCGTTTGACCTCGACTAATCTTTAAATCCCATGGGGCACAACAGTTGCGATGTCTGTCCCAAGGAGTCATTAATTCTAAAAAAGATGAGGCTTTCTCAGAGGCCCTCATTACCCCCCGCCGAAGGGCGCCATTACCCCCAAAGGGGGCATGCCCCAACATTTGCCGACCCCTGGCATATGGGAAGCCGAATACCTCAGGACGTCTTGTATGCTGTCAAAGCACGTCAAGATTTGCCTAGGTGCAGAGATGTGGGTGCTAGTGCAGTGCTCAAGTAAGTGTGCAGTAGCTCAAGGAAGTGTCAATGGCTGATAC